CCATGAACCCATACTATCATATTTTCATGTTTCCAGTACAGTTGATAACGGTACTTTTCTTTCTGTATACTTTTTCCACCTGTTTATAACTAATATTAAAAAATTCAACATTCGCTCAAAAAACACAAGAACGACTTCAAAAGTTCAGGATGTACAGTATTATTTTATATTCAATTTATGAGAAATTCACAAAAGAGAATTTAGAGAACACTTGGTTTTCCGAAAGGATCCCTGAACAAAAACACGATTTTTGCATTTGTTCGACTGTATAATGACGTGTAACAAACAGGTGGAAAAAGAATGCAGAAAGAAAAGTACCGTTATCAACTGTACTGGAAACATGAAAATATGATAGTATGGGTTCATGGAGGCTATTTTCGAGACTTGCTGTGTCCTCATCTCTACTGCATTAAAAACTTGAAAATACTGATTCCTACTCACTTCTGAAAGGAGATGGCAGCCAGAAAAGGCCCTGTAAATGAGCTATAATTAATATACTAGATATCAATCAAATCACTTTTTAAACAGCTTTTAATTGTCAATTTAACCATGATATTAGGAACTATTGGGCTTTGACAGAAAAAACATTATGGTCAAATTACTAAACGCGATGAACTATCACACGAAATAGGCGTGAAATGTCAATATTTTTTTATTGTATCAACTTTTTGAGCCCGAGAACGCCCAGTTATGAGATAGGCAATCATCTTCTGTAAAACTAAACCACTGGATGCAACAAAATCTTCGTGGGCTGATTTACTTTCGTGTGAACCTCTCTCCTTTTCATCTGCTAATCAAATTCTCAGCTAGTCTAACTAAAAAATAAGTACCTTTTTTAGAACGAAAAGTTAAAATTGTCTTACTTGATTATGTCTATTATTGATCTTACTTCGCTCATGTTTAACCAAACTAAAACAAATAGATCTTTTTGAGTATATCACCTGTTTACAAGAAAGAGAGCTGTTTCCACTTACATAAACATTGAGTGAACCATACACAAATATAAAGAAATAAAAGTTGAATAAGAATAAAAGAAATGAGAGAAAATAGTAATAAACAAGTACAAAACTGTTCAAATTTTAAAACAAATAAACTATACAGTTTTACATAGTTAATGAATCTAAAGATAATATAAAAATTAATTAATTAAACGAATTTACATCTAATCTGATAAAGGATAAAACAGACAAGTGAATTATCACTTGCACCCTGTTCTGCTGTTGATACCTCTGCGTGAAAATGGAAACAATTTGTACCACCATCGTTTTCTCGTTGTGGTTTTTCCTATTTTTATGAACAATATTTGAAAATTATTTTGTAAGGGTTTTAAGTAGTATTTTTCTACTGAGTCTTCAATTCAACTTAACATAAAAAATTTTCCGAAACATTCACTTCGAGTAAAATGCTCTTTCCAAGGAATGCAAGTTCTTAAATATTTTTCTTTCATATCTATCCCTTTTATCATTGAACTTTCCTCGAAAATGTGTACCATGACTGTAACATTTATCAAGATGTTAAAACTAATAGCATATTCGTCATCTCCATAGAATATCCAATCAAACAAGGTATAACAAGGTATAGTTTATTCAATGCTTTCTTCACTACAGGTAGCCAATATTCCGTTCAAAGATTTAGAAAACTTTTTTATTGAGCAGTTTTTGTAGAGCCCTCTTATTTCGGTTTTTAGTTCATCTGTTTTGTAACGGAAAACAATGTGTAATGAGTCACAATAACATTCTTCACATGCACAAACTTCAAATCCATCTCTCTCTGTTGCATAAAATAGGACTCTTATTACTTTTCTCTGATTTATTTCTGCAGTTTTTCTTTTGAAAAAAATCGTAACGGTAAGAAAAGGAGAGATTTTTCCGTTATTTATTTCTCTTAATTCTCTTTTTATTTGTTTTTCTCTTTTCCGAACGATACCATTATTTAGATTAAGAACAAAAGACTCCGTGAAAGACGACAATTCGATGAGTCATGAAGAGACAACACAAATTAAAGTTTCATGATTATATACAATTCTAATTCATTGAAAGTGAGTGTCTGTTATTTTAAATTTCATTAAGAGTCGGAAAGAGGGCGCTCAAGGTCTATACCATATAAATACAAAATGCTGTGGAAAAGAGTTGATGCTACGCACAAGTACAGCAAGATGCTTATGTTTTATCCTCTCGAAAAATTCAATCCACAAACAACTACAAAACAATGATATTTGACAATGACACAGATAGTAATACCGCCACGATTCGAAAACTGTACAGAACAGTGCCGAGTGTTTTTTGTTCAAGTTAAGTGATTTTGTTTAAAATTCATAGAGAAAAAGTTGTATATTTTGTTTGTCTTTTATACATAAACTTCTTGGCAACTATAGAACTCGAAAAAATAAATTGTTTTTTTTAAATCTCATTATAAAATTATAATTGAAATTTATAAATCACAGCATGATGGTACCATTATTGCTACATACAACTATATTTTCATCAAGAATGTTACCACATAGTCATTTTACTCTACGAATGTTTTGCTGTAAAAAATATCGTCGAACTGAATAATCCGAAAAAACGGATCATTCGCCGCTTTCCACCGTACAGAATATTGAATCGAATGATGTGACTCCTCCTGTATTTATTTTAAAACCCATTCGATATCCTGTACAAACAAACAAGAATTCGCGTTTTATTGAATCAGCAACATTGATTAGACCTTTATTTCGATCCAGTACTATAGTACCAGTAAGTAACTCTCCAATCTTCCAGTGTTTGATTGTGAATGTTATAGTATTTTCTAGACTGTAAGACCACCATTGAACGACGATCCACCAATAACAGTAACTACTGATGCACCGCTGAACGCCACAATTTCTGAGGAAAAATCTGTTGAACATTTAAAAGTACCAAATGACCAACAAAAACTTACACGTCAATCAAGAAGAATTACTCATGCTATCATCTCATCGCCACAAATACAACCAGCAATCATTAGCTCGAGAGTATCATCTACTTCATCTATATCAATTGAATCTAATCGACGACAGAAATGGCTCAGATTATCATTGTGTTGTAGAAGACGTCGTAAAACATCACCCCGACAGAACGTTGACATCAAACCGGTAGAAAATGTAGGTCTAGTCATATATTCTATTATCTGTTTTGTAAATGATCAATTAGTTCGTCTTTTAGGTTCAAGTCGACGATTGTTTGCGTTGCTCATGTGATTGTAAATTAAAAAAGAAAGTAATTTTTCTCATTGTTGTACTCTTATTTTTATTTTTTATTGTAGTGATTATTTTATTAACTATTCTTATTTCAAAAAAATAGATTTGTATAGGTGTAATATTTGCGATCACAGCATGGTGGAATGTCACACTAATTGTACAAAAAAGATCGCCAATACAGCAACAATAATTTCTGCAATTTAATTAGTATCCAGACAACACATCTATGTAAATAGATAATGTTGAGCATTGTGAATATTTTATACTTCAAAAAAAATCAAAAATCGGAGGGGGGTAGTGTCTATACACATGTACTTTTAAAGATGGTTATATGAGTTAAGATATTCGTGAGAGAAATCAGTATATAATAGAACTCTGATAATATGTAATCAAATATATAGATGTTTTAGTAAATTGTCCAACTGGATGCTAGTTTTTGGCTTTATTACCTATAGATAAGAATAATAAGACGCATGTTATTTGAGTGTGTTAATTTCAACTTGAATTCAGCTGCTATCAGATGAAACTTGCCAACAGGACTAAAAATTTGACTTTTAATCAGTTAAAAACAGTCCGTTAATAGTCACGTCCTTTATTTCATCGTGAAACATGGTTTAAAAACACGTACTTAACTGTATGTACTCGAAACTAAAATCTAAGTCAGCCATCAACTGTCTATTAACACATCACTTTGAACAGTCAATATATCACGAAAAAACTAACATTTAGCGTTTACATTTAAATGTCAGTTGTTATTCTTTAGTCCACAAACCATCGTCTCAAGGAAGTAGCACCTGGTTCTGCGACTGGTACTAGTAATTATATCATGGGTCCTAATAAACCAAATTTCTGAATTCAGTCTTTGTGAGACTATCAGTCAAAAAGAGCATGACTTCGGAAAATGTTCGAACAATAGATCAGTAACAGCCCATAATGGTGCAATAATGGCCTCAAAACGAACATCATAAAATGTCTATTTTTGATCGTAATAAAACTGCTACTTTGAGGCATTAATAGATTTCCATTCTAACTGGGTAAAACCGGTCAAGAAATTGTCTCAATGGGCTAGCAATGTCCATCTAATAGACACTAGAATGGTTATTAATGGGTATTTATTGGACAATTAACTATATCGTTTTCAACGATATTGTATTAGCGAGCGATAAGTACAACGGTTTTCCGTACACTGTTACTCTCCAATGATTTCATTACTAAAGGTGTCCACTCAATTGAACTAAAGCAAATCAATCAACTATAGTATTTGTTTAAAATAAGCTAATATGAGACTCAATCGTACTCGAGTAACAACTTCAAAACATGTACAATGTTTCTATTTGTCCGCATGTACATAGTGGAATGCTTTAGTGAAAATATTTAATAGTATGAAAGGAAAAGCATCCAAATATTTATCTGGCGTGATATGTCTCTGCAGTTGATGTAATCGGAAGAGCTGTATGACCATATTATAGCACTGAAAACTCAGTCGTATTATCTTATTATTAACATATTTTACAGTCATCGAAAATCTTACGATGTGACACACCATGTTGTTAATACAAATAGTGTTGTATGCCAACTAAGCGTCAGATTATTAGATATGCAAATGCATTGTGCTGTTAATACAAATTTTGCATTTGGCAAAATGTTTTATGACATTTAAGTTAGTAGTATTCCCTTAATATTGTAATGAAGTGCTGACTAAGTTTATCAAAAATCTCTTAAGGCAATTTTTCATATTGTTGTGATCTAATTACGTAGCTGAATGAGTATATAAAAATTCGTTGCATGCAGTTTACTTTTTTATACTGTACAAAATACGATTTATTTTGAGGATACAGAACGAAAAAAAAGTTATAGAATATCACTGTCTGTAGGTTTTATAAAGAAAAACAACAAAACTCTGCATTTTCACAAACAAGCATATTTACAAACACATAGGACACACATCATGTTCTATAAAAGTTTGGCATAAATGCGCTCTTTTTCGCTCTATAGTTTGAAGTTTGCAAGAATAAGAACACCGGTAATGAACGATAAATGCGAAACTAAATATATCCGATTTGGTTTTTTGTTCATCTTTCTGTATGTATTGCACGATATATTTCCATAATAAATACATGTTAATGAAGAGATCGCTGGGGATGGTGATGATGATGCTGTTTATCTGCTCTATCTCTCTCTTTTTGCTGTTTTTTCGTCTTGTATCGATGATTTTGAAACCAAATTTTTACCTGAAAGTAGAACAACAGAATTAAAAAGGAGATAGATAGTGAAGAGAGAGTAATCTGCAGTACCTGAGTTGGTGTCAGTTGAAGTAGGCCAGCAAGATGTTCACGTTCAGGTGCACTCAAATATTTTTGTTGTTTAAAACGTCGTTCTAATTCATAGATTTGCCCTTGATTAAATAATATACGACGTTTGCGTTTTTGTGATACAAATGGAAATTGGGCATACGATTTCATTGGATCATAAGCATTTGCTAAAGCAGAGACGGCACTATCTGATGATGTACCAAGAAATCGTGACACTAAAAGAAATCAATATTCTGTTAGTCTCATGTGAAGATACGCCGTCTATCGCTAACAAAGATGGCAGGGAAGCCGCGACAACAGGAGTAGAGAGCGGGATCCCCTCTCTGCTTTTGGAAATCTTTTACTCCCAAAGTCGAAAAGTTTTTGGTCAATAATTGAGATCAACAATCAGCATCATCTGGCATCACTGTATTTAAAAAAAGAAATTCCGTGATGTTTTCACCTACTTTTTTCTGAATTACATACAAAATTTCGTTCCCTTATTGAGTAAGGTCCGTAAAATATGTACCCACGGAGCGCCCGTGATTACATATTTCACGGACCTTACTCAATAAGGGAACGAAATTTTGTATGTAATTCAGAAAAAAGTAGGTGAAACATCGCGGACTTTTCTTTTTCGAAATTGACAGTGATGTATGCTGATAAAGATCACAGTATTTGGGAATGAAGAGGAAAACTTCGAGCTCTGATTTGACGCTGCCTAATGAGTATTCGTTGATTACTCATTATAAATACTCTGGGTTTAAGAGCAGACACGAATTTTCTTTTTGTGTTTACAAGAAAATCTGCTGTGACTCACATTTTGAAAGCTTTGCATTCTTCATGCTCTCTTCCACTAATCCAAATCCCACGATATAAGCGCTGGCTTCCAAACACTTTTGTCTGTTGAGTTTACCACCAAAGTCAAAATTTGTGACTCAGGTTTTCAATCAACTGCTTAGGTTATGATGATGAATCAGCGCGTTTTACTCTTACATTTAAAGGAGTTTTATGTCTCAGAGCGTTTTGTATATCAAAAGTTAGATAAATCAGACATTAACTCTCATTTTAAAAATTTTCGATTTACTCCAAAATCGGAGAACTCTTCCCTGCTTCGTGTATATTATGGTGTTCCTGGACGATGGGTGTAATTTCATTCTTGATACTTCAAATATATATGCTGAAAGTCGTTCGTGTATTATGTTATTCCTTTTCAATAATCTCATTTTAAGTTCATTTTGTTAGCGTAGAACTCAAAACTTAAACTTGAAACGAAAGTGACTTACTTGCTGCGGTACCATACCAGTATGTTGGTGAATATTGTCCATTTTGTGAAATATTTGACGTATTATAGAGCGATTCAGCCGATGAATTTCCATTGTAATATGAACTATTAGGTGAAAATGCAGAACTAGGATGATATAAATGAGGATTATAATAATGATTTGAAGTTGTGCCGGTTAGAGGTGTCGAGGATGTAAAACCATTTCCCATTGAATAAGTATTTAAGTTATTGCTATTATTATTGATACTATTGTGTAGATTATTGTTTGAAGATGAATTCGTTGATGTTGATGAAGTGGGACGATGATGATGATATGGTGGCATCCCCGCTAAGGCTGTAGCCATTTCTAACGAACGTTTATACGCTGAGTCTGGATCTAGTGGATGTAAAATATCAGTGACAGAAAATGGCATACCATGTGGAGTCATTGATGGAGATGAGCTACGTTTAATTTGACTAAAACGGATAACAACACTTTGAATTTAAGTGTACTGGTAAGAGGATATCTTCTAACTGGTATTTCCTATAGGGGATAAAAAGGATTTTACTAGAGATGGTAGTATTGTTCTTTATAGTCTATAGTATAAGTGCTACAAAAAAATATTAAATAAACTCACTTTGTATAATATGAATGTGTATCTAATTGTTTTGACATTTTTTTAACATTTACTAATTAATTCTCTATTTAAATTAGTCTAATCTCATCCGTATTTTACAAGTATGTCGTATAACACTTGATTAAAGTGTTCCTTATTCGATATACTTTAGTACTACTTGATACAATAAATTTTTCTCTGTCTCTCTTTTGGTCGATAGCCAACGGATGCGTTATATGTTCGTCTGTCTTGTATTGTGTATGTTCGAGATATTTTTTTGCGGTAAAGAATAAAAAGAGAAGTATGTGCTAATCGTTTTTTATGATAAACTTGAAAAAAGTACCATAAATAATACAACAATAGAGTAACTGTGCATAAGCCGACTAGAGTGTTTTAAGAATATAGAGCAAATAGAGAAGAAAAGAGATTTTTTTTATTGTCACAGGCGTTGTTGTTGTTGTTTTTTTGAAAATTATGATGATGAAATATGAAAAAATAAATAAAAACGTAAGTACAATATAGAGAATGTATAAATTCTTTTTTTGAAGATGCCAACAAGAGGCAAACGAAGAGTGTTATAAGTACTTTTTGTGCACAAGAGGCTTTGAAGCGGTACTCAAAAAAAAAATAAAAAAAATTTTACCAAAAAAAGTGCTTATGTGCATGTGTCTGTGGATTACTGAACATAGGAGAAGAAGTAGTAAGAGAGAAGAGAAATAATATAGTCAGCCGGTAATTTTTTTCTTCGTCTTTTCTTTTGCCTTTTCATCACCATCTTTTTCTAGAGCCAATCAGAATTCTTTTCGAGTACATTACTCATTGGTCGTTTTTGCTCATGTACAACAAAGAACAACACAATATAAATTTTTTTTGTCTAACAGATCATTGACAAGTAATGACATGGAATTCTATTCCTGAAGTACACCCTAAATCAATCAGATAATGTACATGAAAAATTTTATACATTAAGACTAATTCTATGTATGTATAAAAAAATAGTGGAGAAATTCTTTTCGAACGATTGATCTCTTCTAAATATTCAAAAGAGCTCTCATTTTTACGTTTATATATACTAATTGACATGAGCTTGTATGTAAACTAATCAAAACAAAATTCCCTTCTCAAAAATCTTAAATGTTCGTACAACCGAAGGTCAGATGAGAGCTTCAAAAATTGATGATATCAACGAGTATAAAATGTTGTTTTTAATATATTCTTTTAATTAAAAGTTACAACCCTCTCAAACTATTTTCTTGAGTGCTTGACCAATGCTAATAAAGCGGCGCAGAATAAATTGTTTTGTTGGATGTAAGATTGTGATTTATTTTGAACGGCTGTCTCTTTTACTGTTTCTTTGATTGAAAAATATGGGATAATCTGAGAAGATAGCATCCTAAAAAGTTTTGTTCTAAGTATTTTGATCGTTGGTTCTGTGGTGTGAGATAATAACTAAAGGACATCGAACTTATTTGAAACCTTGTTAGGACAGTCGCTTGTGGCGGGGGCTAAAAGGGTGAAACTCCTTTACATTAGCCGAACGGTGGTATCGGGAATAGTGTACACTAACACAGAGGAGCAACGAAAGTTGCAGCTGTCTGTTAAGATGAATACACCACTCTGTTAAGATGAATATACCTCCTGAATAAGATGCTTACACTACCCTAATGAGAGGAATACATCTCAATTCTCAAGAAAAGACATTACCCCCTTGTCCTTAAAAGGGATACACTCCCTTTTAAGATGAATACATTCGGAGGGGGGAAATTTAAAAATAGGCCAAAATCAAGGCTTTTTGAGTATAAAACTTTAACTTCTTCTCCTTTGGAGATACTAAAGGAGTTTCACAAAACTTTAATAGTATTGCTTTCATTTATTTACAAAGCAGAAAGGGGTATAAACAATCAACGATAGTCGACGCGTGAGATAGTGTGTAGTGTGTTCGACGTACTTTTACTTAATTCTCAGTAACGAACTAAAACTGATTACAAGATATTGAGATGCACTGCACGTAAAGGGTGCATTGAACTATTTGTCACTATTGTATCAAAATCTATTAAAATATGGAAATTTGTTCTATTTTTATAGATGATATTGGAATAATTCTGTCGGAAATTTTTTGATTTCTTACTTAAAAAAGTTGCGTATGTTTTGCCATGAGGATAGATGAGTATGTCTCTCTAACTTAGTGGACAGTAATAATAAGGATGGTGAAGATGCTGAATGTCAGCCTCAATCAGATTGCGAGATTTTATCTCCACAGAGTGTAGACGAAAATTTTGAAACTCTTAATCGTATCTAATAAAAATGTTATGAATGTACGTTTAACTATAATACCAACACCTTTTTCAAAGTTATGAAGGAAAACTTACTTATAATACCAAAAACAATTATGTGCAGCTATATAAATGTCACCAATGCAATTTGGATTTGTTTTACACTAATATAATTGAAGAAATATTTATAAGTTTAATTACATTCTTGATTATTTATACTTGGCCGAGAAACACAAGATTATTATTTTTTTCATATATGACGTCTCAATATAGAGTTAGACGTGGGTAGGTAGATAGTTATGCTTATTATAAACAATTATCTTCATTTTGTTATTTAACGTCGAAATGATAATGAGTGATCTCGAATGTATGGCGAGTAGTTACCAAAGACATGATAGTTTAAACTAATTCATGCTTATATAAGATCATTCAGTTGAAATAGATGCTTGATATCATTATATAAACAGAAGGACGTTTCTAATTAAGGGACCGTCCTCCATCTTTTTTCTACTTCGTTCAACTGATTCGAACAAAACTTTCATCGGTGAAATTTTTTCATGCAAATAGTTTATGATAAAATTTTGATCCAGAATGTTGTATCGTTCACAATTTTAGTTGGCAGACGAAGCAAAATGCGATTGTTCTTGAGCTATCAATTTTTGATACCTCATTATAGTTAAGTTTCGGGTTTGTTTTTTTAACATGGCAGTTTTCTCAAAAAACCCAAGCATAAAAAAAATCTAGTATCGCCCGATTCATCTAGATTACTAGATTTTTACTCAATTGCAATGAATTGGTAACAACAGTGAAAATCTACTAATCGAGCGATTGCCAGATTTCTCTTCAGTTGCAACTATCGATTTATCGCCGGATAATCGACCGATTTAACTATTGATAGTTGCACATGCAGACTCAGATAGTTGAAAGTCTCTTTTCCAACTAGTAATCTAGATGACAATTAGTCATATTTAGCCCTATTACGAAATGTATCTAGATTTTTGCCATAGGTGATGTTTGCTTGGGAAAATTGGCTTGTTGTTTTTGGTTTCGGGTTCTAAAGAAACAAAACTGATTTAGAAAAAGGGTTATTACTTCCGCATCGAAAGCCGCACTATATTGCTCTATATTTTACTCTAATAAGAGCAGTCTGTTGTATAAATCTGAACAACTCAGAAAAGTCTATGTACGGTATGTATCTAGAAAATATAGTAGATTTCAAAAATCCTGTTTTTTATGACTTCTGAGATTTCTTTCTAACTTTCAAAAAAAACCTTCCACAAGATAAAAGACATGTATTCTTAAAATACACAATTTAGACTATGGGTTAGTAAGTTTTAATTGAAAACAATTAAATTTTTTTTGTATAAGACTCTTATTTGACAGAAAGTATTGCTCTCACTGCTTTAATGATATAATTTTGCATAGAGTTACGAAAGAGAACTGTTAAAGTTAGGAAATGAACAATCTCATTAAGACCACTCTTGTTGTACTTTCTACTCACTGAACTGTACCTCTACCTTTCGTAGAATGATTTGAAATCCCAGTACATTTCAGTTACTTAAAGGAAAAGTTCACTCATATTCTTTCCTATTGATCGTTGAGAATTATTTAGTGCCCATACATATAGACCATTATCATTTTTCAATTTGTTTAGTCGTTTTAAGTGATTCTCTCTCTCTCTCTCTCTTTCGATGTATGTTGGTACAAATCTTTAAGAAATAAGGTTTGTTTGTTAAAAAGTTGAATTTCTCTCTCTCTCTCTCCCTTCTCTTCTCTCCTTCCACTATCGAGATAGAAAATAGAAAAAAAGTTGTACAGGTGACAGATCCACTTTGGTACTAACAATTTAGAGTACTTGAAAACCTCTTCAATGTCCTTCGTCGTTAATGGATGCATTACGTGAACATCTGAACTAGAAAGAGAGTAAAACAGCATTTTAAGAATAGAGAGAAAATTTTAAAATATATAAAAAATCGAAGTGGTAGGTGATACAAGATATTCCCTGAATTGCATACTGTATATGAATAAGTAATCAAGAATTGCTTTTAATAATGGATCATTTTTAACGTCTATCGTCATATTATTCATAGCATCACCATGTATAGAATGAATTTGCTTAATAATAAATATCTTTTCATTATGAAACTTTTATAAATTATTTAAAGTTCAAAATTATGAATTTCCTAGTTTTAAAATTCTCACTGCAAGCGTTTGACTTTAGCTTTATTCTTCCGAAGTACATCAATATTCGAACATTCAAATTATTGACAAATACAAAATCAGAAACAAAATGTAAAATACTGAAAGTTTTTCTCTTTAAAGAGAAAAACTTTATCTAGTTTATATTATATTCCTATATCAGACATGTTTATTGTTGAGAAAAATCGTAAGAATTCATTTGTAGTCGCTTATTAGCTCGATTTATTTAATTGACATTCTATACATAGGTTAGCTTTGATCATAAGTTTATAATCTTCTCTTTTCTTTCACTTTTTCTTAACTATATCACTATAGACAAAACAATAGAGATCTTAGTCAAGTACGTTTCAATTTCTCTTTGTGTTGGTTTTATATGCATGGATAATTGAGTAGAATTATTTTAATGAGACGTCAGTGAGAAAGAATTTTTTCTATTTCGTATTCACTTTGTATGTTTTTTATAATTAGACATTATTGTGTATAGTTCTTAAGTGAGCCTGTAAGCAAGTTGAAACGAACTAGGAAGAATATCTAGCGGGTGCTTACATTTTCTTGTTGGTGGTATAGTAAAGAGAAAAAAACAACAA